GAATTAATCTGGAAAGGCCTTGAGACATGAGGCTAGCTTGATAATCTCCTATATAGAATGGTATTATTTTTCTAATTTTGTAAATATGATGCATCTATATTGTAGAAGTAATGTAGTTTGACATGGAATCCTGGGATTTGCAGTTTTGCAGGGTCTTTAGCCTTCTCTGTCAAACAGTGCTGTTGCCTAACAAACTAAAAATCCTAGGATTCTATAGTACGGAGAGATGACAATTAAAGTGTTGTCAAACTGCATTATTTCTACAGTGGAGATGCATCCCTAGCTAACCAGTTTAAATACATGTTTTTAAAAAGAAAGACTTTAATGATTAACATGGTACTACAGAATAAGTATACCAACAATGGCTAGCAAAGCATTGTTCACTAGAGGTTATAACTCTATAGCAGTGCTTCTCCATTATTTTCTGTCACGCCCCCCCCAGGAAAGAAGAAAACATTTCGCGCCCCCCCCCCTCACGACTGTAAATAGTCACATGGGTGGGTTTGACCATTCAGGATAGAGCACATCGGGCTGCTACTGGGGCTGCGCTGGGACAATCTCCCTCTCTCCAGCTGTAACGGGGACCCTTTACAGAGCCCTGGGGGGCGCGCCCCACTATTTGAGAACCGCTGCTCTATAGGAACATACAAAATTAATGAATTAAACATGTCATATTTATTTGTCAGAGCTATTTGATGCTGTCACTGTAAATTGTATGACTCTAATTGGATGCTACCATTTCAATTTGTGTATCGGTCAAAGCTGTGGTTACTCTATGAAGATATGGGAGGAATCAAATGTTCAGAAAAAACAGCAATACGATACAGCAATCACTTCTGAATAGCTTCCAAAACAATTTCTCAATGAAAGTGGATGCTATAAAGCCGTAAATCTTCATTTATTTTTTTCTCATGGGGATGGAGAAAGAATTTGAAAGGTATTCTTCCCTCTGACTTAATTTGCAAAAGTTTTTGAAGATTTTTTAAAATGATGCTTTGCATTTTGGTACTGTTTTGCAAAAACAGTTTGCACAAAAGACTACAGGGATTTTGTTCAGAAAGCTTGGTTGTACAAAAGTTGTTTTTCCTCAAAACCAGTGTATTTTTCACAAAACTTGACTGTTGTATGCACAAACAATTTTTTTTCCACAAAAAGTCTCGAAATACAAAGAAAGCAACATCAAACAAAAACAAAACATCTCACAGTGGTTGACCTTATTTTTGATGGGGTGTTTGTATGTCCTAAGGCATGTTTTTCTGACAATGATTACAGAAAAATATGAATAATCTTTACATAACTAGTATTCAGCATTGATACACCAGCATTATTCTGTCACATTCACTGAAGGAGTCAACCATTTCAGGTTCTCACTGCTTTGTATACAAGCCCTGTCTTTTAAAATTGACACTCTTTAGCTAAAAGAGCCATGGGACAAGCCAACACCAATTTCAAAAGCCAGAGCCTTGGCATGCAGTGATGTAGCCCTAGGGCTTCTCTGTGCCTGTGCCTTCTGTCTTTGCTTTCCTGTCCATCACCCAAAGCAATATAGATTATGCATTTATTCTCCATCTTCAAACAGACAAGAGCAACTTGCTGTCACTCAGGAGAAGGCAAGTATGTCAAACACAGCAGCCACAAGGGTGAAAATTTCTCTCTGTCCTGAAAACAGACAACTGACCCAATCCAGATCAAAATCTTGTATTTCTATATTTAAAGTATTTTATTGTAACTAGGTTGTGTATATACAATTCACAAAGAAACTGACTACTTCAAAAGGAGGTGGTCTCTCCTTCCTTGGAAGTTTCTAAACAGGTTGGATGCACATCCGTTGGAGGGCTCTATTCTCAAGGACTCCAGCTCTGGCAGGGAGTTGAACCAGATGATCCTTGGTGTACCTTCCCATTCTACAGCTTTGATTCTACAGCAAGGGTATGTAGCTTCCAGGAACTTGAAGGGGCTTGCATTGACTCTCCATGGGACCTTAGAAGGCCATGATGTCCCTTATAAAAGCCATCCTCAGATTTTTCACCTTAAAAAAATAACCCAAAATGTGAGCATGGATGAAAATTTCCCACATTTTCCCCCCTCCCCTGTTTTAGGCCCAGGATTGCCCTTTTTTTTCCAGCAGG